TCACAGGGAAATTTATTTCAGATATTTCAGAATGGATTTTGTAAAAATACTCAGAGCAAATAAACAATAGATCCTCATCTAATCCCTACTCACTGACTTCATCATGGGGGGCTCCCTGGCTCCCATGAACTTTGGTTATTTGATTTGGAAATGTTAAGGTCTAATTTCTTTTACCCACTAAACTTGCAGTGTGCAGAGGCAAAAAAAAGTCCTGCTATTCATGACAAGAGGCCAGAAGGTATCCTGCTTCACCTGTGGAGTTGTGTAGTTCTCCTATACTTTAAATAGGGAGCTAGTACATAGACCATGTATGATGTGAGGTGTCTCAGGAGAAATATGAGTTCAGGAAACACTTGACAGGGGTGAGCCAGCTGGTGTCCCACAGTGCAGTGGGGAAGGGGCCAGCGAGCAAGGTCTACAGACTACTCACTGTTGTAGACACGTGAGCCATGAATGCCGTGTGCCCCCGGAGGCTGGGGGGCCATGGCGAGTTCCCGTAGGCAGCGGCAGTGCTGTCGGCAGTGTTGGGGGGGTGGCGAGCGGCGACAACCCACAGGTGCCAGCAGCAGTGTCAGCAGCACTTTTTTGCAGGGGGTGCACATGCCAATGATGTGAGCTGCCTTTTTCTGAAAGACACATAACAGACTTTGAGGTCTGCTACTACCAACCTCTCAGGCTTTCTTCTTTTCTCTCCAAAGGCAGGCACACACTCCTTCATATTAAGGATTCTGTGTAATGTCTTCAAGAGGCTTTCCCTGTATGAAGAAGTACTGTGATGAAGCTTATCACAAAGGCTTTTTCAATAGTGCTTTCTGGGTATGTATTCAAGCCCCATGGGAAGGGAGTTTCAAGCAGGTGGAACACAATGTAAGAAGGCCTGTTCTCCTGCCCCAGTGCTGTTGATACAGCTGCTCCAATGACTCTGTAATGCAGAATGCACAAACAACATTGGAAGCCAGGACTCACCGATCCCCCACCAAGACAGCATTCACCTCCCAGAGCCATGGAGTCATGGTCTTTTTTGCTTGTTCATTTTCTGTCCTCCTCATGCCTTTTCTCTTGGTTGCCTGGTGGCCCAGCTTCAATCAGAAAGCACTCCCAGTCTTGCCTAGCCAGCAGTTTAGAGAGTAGGATGCTCCTATCAGAGATCAGGCTTCCTCTTAGGAAAAAGGTGGCCCCAGAACTTGGGCCACCCAGGTGCTCTTTGTGTTTAGCAGGTCCCTATACTACTGTGCAGAAGGTGGTAGCATCCCTGCTGTACTGGCCTCAGTTCAGTGTCAGACAGTTTGTAGTTGTGATTTTTGGTCATTTGCAAATTCCATGGTTTACCTAGTACTCTGTGGGCATGTCTAGACTTGCACTTTAATGAGCATTAGCCTATTTTAGTGTGCATTAAAGTATTATAAAAAAACCCATGCTCTTTAGCTAATGCTCATTAAAACAGACTAATACACATTTTCCTAGTACTTCACAATGGAGGTATCAGATTTATTGCACATTACCTAAAGTGCATTAATGAACATGTAGACACCCTGTGTCAGTGGTGAAGATGAATCCCAACAGAGCTTAACTGTAGCCAAATGTCTCTGGGCCAGCACTGCATCACTTTTGAGTGTGCACAGTTGGGCTAACCTTAGGCATAGAATCATAGAGATGGAGGGCTGGAAGGGACCTCCATGGGTTATCTAGTCCAACTGCCTGCCTGGGGCAGGATCATCCCAATCCAAACCATCCTGTACAAATCCACTGTCTACTCTCTTTGTAAAACCACTCAGTCAGAACACAAGACATAACACCCTAACCTAACGGAAAGCAGGGGGACCACAGCAACCACCATCTTGCTTCTGTAAAAGTGAATATACACTCAAGACTTTTTACTAAGAGGGCTACATCCCCTCACTACACAGGAAGGCAAAAACCCCCACAGTCCATACCAACCATGGGGTAAAATTCGTTCCTGATATGGCAATCAGCGGCCTTATCTACACGAGATGCTGACTGCGCAGTCATTACTCTGCCATCATTTAGTACTAGTGTAAACAAGTATTAAATGACTGTGCAGTAACTAGAGTTACTGTGCAGTAGCCCAGATGAACAGCTTTTTTTGCGATGCTACTGTGTAGTAGCCCCAACACTACTGTGTAGTAGTGTTGCGTCATGGGTTCGGCCACATGACACTGCTGTGCAGTAGTCTTGGGCTACTGTGCAGTCAGCATCTCATGCAGACATGGCCAGTCTGACCCTGAGCAGAGGGGCAAGGCCCCCCTAGCCAGGAACATCCTGTTTTAAGTTCCAGCATGAGCATTGCCACCTACAGCATTGGATGCAGCCAACACCCAGTGCCTCTGAGGAAGGTTTAAACAAAGCCATGATACATGTAGCAGAAGGACCGGGGGGACATGGAGGAGGAGGTGGAGGAAATTCCTTCACTGCCCCCTGTGGCAACCACCAAAGCCCAGAAGCAACCCCATAGTAGAATACAGGCATAGCTATGCCTAGAATAAATCATCCCCAACCAGTGGCTGTTCAACTTCTTGAACACCTCCGGTGTCACGTAGAGTGAAAATGCTGTTGCATAAGGCAGTGGTTTTTAAACTTCCTAAAGTAATGGGACCCTTGCATATCACTTCTTGTGCTGGGAAATCCTACCCCTGGCTTCACAGGCCATGTGAGCTGACATGGAGAAAAGCATCCCAGCCCAGCAATGGCAGTGCACTGCCACCCAGCCTGCTCCACCATTATTCCCAATCTCTTTGTGGAACCCCTGACGCCCGACTGCAGAACACCAGGGTTCCCTGGAAAATGGTGTGAAAACCATTGCCCTAAGGCATTTAAACTTAAGCATGGTTCAATTGTTACACAAGGCAATGCAGAACATTGTGGGTGATGCCAAATGTTGCATAAATGGCATTTGTGTGTCTTAGCAAAGAAATAGAATCCTGTTCTCAGGATTATCCCACCACCATCTCCACCAGCTGGGAACATGCAGCAAAAGCTCTGGGTCTATAGTGCCCTGGATTCAATCAGGAAAAGAGGAAACCCTCTGAAGAAACCAGGAATGGAGCGGACAAACTGGCTAGCTCCCTGTCTGCAGGAATTACTCTGTATTGCTGACAACTTTTTCTACCTTTTATTCTTCTTGCACCTGTTGGAGCTTGTTTTAGATTATTCATAGTTTCATAGATTTAGGGTCGGAAGGGACCTAGTAGATCTTCTAGCCCGACCCCCCACCAGGGCGGAAGAACAACAAAACCCCAAAACAAAAACGGGACTCAAATGAGTCCAGCCAGGTAGGCATCCAGCCTCTTCTTAAAGACCCCCAGGGTAGGGGCCAGCACCACTTCCCTTGGAAGTTGGTTCCAGCTCCTAGCCGCCCTAACTGTGAAGTAGTTCTTGCGGATGTCCAATCTATACCTCCTCTCCATCAACTTGTGCCCATTACTCCTTGTTATGCCAGCGGGCGCTAGGGGAAACAGCGTCTCCCCCAAACCCTTCTGGTCCCCCCTAGTGAGTCTATAGACGGTCACCAGGTCCCCCCTCAGCCTTCTCTTGTGGAGGCTGAATAGGTTCAGGTCCCGCAGTCTCTCACTGTAGGGTCTGCCCTGTTGTCCCCGGATCATGCGGGTGGCCCTCCTCTGGACCCTCTCCATGTTGTCCACAACCCTCCTGAAATGGGGTGCACAGAACTGGATGCAGTACTCCAGCTGTGGCCTGACCAGCGTCGCGTAGAGGGGGAGGATCACCTCCTTGGCTCTACTCGAGATGCACCTGTGGATGCACAATAAGGTCCGGTTAGCCCTGCCAACCATGACCTCACATTGTCGGCCCATGTTCATCTTGGAGTCAATAATGACTCCAAGATCTCTTTCTATTGAATGTGGCATGCTCAGGTGTGCACCTAAATTCATAGCTGAGGCTCAGCTGATACAAACAAAAAGTACTACTAGCAGAGAGAGACATTTGGGAAAGCTACCCTGGTAAACCAGGATGAAAAAGGTGTGTGCGCACAAATTATTAAAGGGTAAACCATGGCTTCTAGATGAACTGAATGGGATTAACACACACCACTAGAGAACAGACAAACTCTGATCAGATTAACAAATTCAACTATAAGGATCATGCTGGCTACCAACAGAATATGCTGGCATTAACCCACGTAACATGCTAAAAAATATCCTAAGGATTTGGACACATGGTCCACAGAATAGATCAGCTATTGACCCGATGAACCAATGAAAGAGAACAGAGAGAAGAGCAGATTCTCCTTGTAGGTCTTCATTCAGCAAGTTAAAGTCTGTGGTGCATTCCAGCTGTCATGGCTGGGATCAATCTTTTGTTCCTTATCTGAACTGAAGGGTTGAGAGGGAGAGAGACAGTTTGTGGTTTGTGTGTTTTGTTTATACAAAATTCAGTTCAAGGTTTTTCATTCCTCTCCCAAGTCAATTTGAACTCTATTGCATTTCCAAACACATCCTGGCCAACTGCCCTGTCTGCTATTAAAACAAAATACTGCTGTAATAGAGTTCATTTGTTGGCATTAGAACAGGTGACTACAGGATTTAGCTGACGGCATGTTGGTTGGGATCAAGTGAATAATCCCAGAAAGAGGATGCCAATTACAGGATGTAAACCTGTGAATTACAGGTGCAAACTGTACCCAATATAAGACACACTCAGTCACACACTTATAGTGCTTTGAGTAAACAGTTTATAATCACATTTGTAATGAAACCTGAGCAATTTCATAGGCAGAGGTAGACTCCCTTAGGCCTAGTGTATATTTAGAAAACTTGCACTGGGATCATTAACACAGTTAATATACTTATAGCAGGGGACCTTTCTAATGTAAACATACTTAAATTGGTTTAGATCTGTTTATATTGTAATAAGTTAAATCAGTTTACCCATAATCATAGGAGTGACTGAAATGAGACACTGAAAGGGCTTTTCAAGGCGATTTCCATCATCAATGACAGATTGTTCAGGATGGAGTGCTTTCTATTGTATTCAGCTTTCTACATCCCAAACAATGGGATTTCTACTATGTCCTGGAGGAAGTTTTTATGAGTAAGACATTTCTCTTTCAGTCTATTTTGTTTCTTTATTACTTCTAATTTTACACCTCCTTGTTCCACTTGCAGGGGTTCTGCTCCATGTTTGGTGTTTATATCCTTGTTGTATTTGGAGTCAGCTATCTCAGCCAGCACTTAGCCTATCTTAACAACTAGTTCTCACTCTTTTCTCATTAGTCCCCTTACTGTCACTTATTTCAAATAGCTTACACTTTGTCTGTGTCTTTCTGGTGCTCAGGGCTGCAGCCCACATTCCAGATGAGGACACAAGAGGAGAAATGTCAATTTCCTTCCACCTCCATTTCCCCAAAACAAATGTGTTATTGCTTAGAGTTTGGAGGATCACCAAATATTCTCATTTTCTCTCTGACCCCGGCCCAGCAAGTCAAACACCAGGGATTCTTGGGATTCTGTAAAACAGGGCACCACAAGTGGCACGGGCAGCCTCTGGGTATGGCATGCATCAGATGGGGAGTGCAGGCAGCACAGTGGCAGATAGGGCAGGGTGCAGAAAGCAGAGCACCACATCAGGCAGGGAGCACAGGGTAGGGAGCAGAAAGCTGAGCAGGAGCTCTGGTACGGGAAAGGGTTCAGAGTGGCACTTAGGGCACGTGCAAGGCTAATTCAAGGAATGCCTGCCACTGCTATAGAGGATTCTAGAGCAACTTCAAGGCTGGTGAATGCTAAAGCGTGTATTCTTGCTGAGGAGAGTCAGCCCACACTCCAGATGATAATATAGGAAGTCCATGGATTCAAGTCATGTGAGATCACACCACAATAGTGGATTTACTGAAAGCCTCTTTATGGAGCACTGAGTTGATCTGACCAGGAGAAGAACATGAACTAATGAGGAATGCACTACCTCAACTGGTACAAACAGACAAAAGTGACAGTGTTTTCAAAAGTAGTTTGAGGTCTGTGATAATTACAGAGTGTAGCAAGAAGTGGATGATAGCCAGACCCCATCATTCAAAGGCATTTGCTTCTCAGCTCAGATATGAAAAGAGCTGTTTCTTACCCCCCCGCCCGAGGCAAAATTCTAAGAAAATTCGTGTCTCCCATTCAGTCACCTTTGCCTGGGAACGTGTAACTGCTGGTAAGGCCGGATTAACACATAGGCAAACTAGGCACATGCCTACAGTCCTAAGTGAAAAAGGGGCCAAGTTGTGCTTATTTTACATGTTATAATTATTGAGTGAAAAAAGTAGGAATCCACGAGTTTGTTTGCCTAGGGCCCACTAAAGGGTTAATCCGGCCCTGACTATTGGGAAACTTTTTAACCGTTGTCAAGTGTCCTGAGGCGAAGAAGCCATGTTGGGCTACCAAATACATCCCTGAAACATGGAAGATGCCAAATTTTTGCCGATTTTGGATTTAAACTTCATTGCTGATACCTCCCTGCCTGTCTGCCATCTGACACCACCAGGGAAGGGAATCCCGCCTTATCTGCACATCAGAGAGCAACTCACAATGACACTCTCATGGACCCAGAGGAAGAGACTTCCACCTTCAGCTTCCCCTGTGCAAAAATGATGTTTACTTTCTACTTATGGGGACTTGCTACCATCTTTAATTTTCTCTGAGCCTGAGGAAGGGTGTGTATGCCTGAAAGCTTGCAGAAAATAAATATATTTTTTTGCAATTTCTTAATTGGTCTAATAAAAAGTATAATCTCTGAACCAAGAGTTCTAGAGTTTTGTATTTCTGAGGGGAAGAAGACATTGCAGGAACCTGTTGTACATTGTCCCCGTGCTCTGGAAGTGAAACCAGTGGCATATCAGTGCTGCTCAGCGCCCCACACCCTGGTAAGTGGAGGGGGCAGGGCCAGCTCTGATTTATCTATGATAAAAGAATCAAAAGCTAATGCCAAAGTATATAGATATTTAGAATTTGTTTTGTTATTGATAGAGGCACTGGTAGTCTTCCAAATTGCTTTAAAATTGGAAATATATCAATAAAATATTGCCCAAACCAATCTCTCTCTATATAGCAGCATTTCATTTTAATCACAGAAAAACACAGATTTGGGGTATTTGAATGAGAGAATTTGGGGGTTTTTAATCAGAGAATTTGCCATTTTTAAACAGGGAACACCAGGATCTCTGCTGGTGAGGCAAGTGGTAAGACCGGGGCAGAGGAGCCTGCCCAGGGTCAGCACTGGGGACCCATCTAGAGGGCAGACAAGGTGGCGGACCTGACCATTGGGGGCCAAGAGGACACACTCTGACAAATCAAAGTGGGTCACCTCAGTGAGTGCATCTGGATGATACCTGCTCAGATGGTGAGCGGGGGGCACCCAAAGACATGACAGCAGTGCCGCGTGAAGGGCAACAGTGCAGATATGGCCCACTAGCAGCTGACCCAGAAGTGCAGGAGGCTCTGCTGCAGTGCCCAAACCACAGCCCAGGCAGCTGTGCGGTCCCCTTCTAGGTCTGGTAGGCGTGCAGCCATGGGGCCATAGGTCAAAGGGGGTGGATGCTGTCACAGGTGGCTGTGGGTCACAGCCAGGCAGCAGCCCCCACTGCCAGACTACTGCAGTTGGTAGAGGGTGCAGGGGCCACTCTAGTTAGGGTTGCTTCAGTAGTCCAGTTGGCACAAGGGGTTAGTGTCCCCAGATACCAACTGGCTGGGACCCAGAAGCTCCTAAATGCAAATAGTCCTGAGCTGCTTGCCAGAGCAGTTTTTTATGTGCTGGCCACAGCTTCCAGTTCTTCCTTGTGGAAGAACAGGGAGGAGCTGGGCTGAGTCAGTTTGCCCCAAGTGGCACAACTTGCCCCACACTAAAGTGCATGTTCAGGCATGACTGCTAAGGCACAAATCCGCACAAAGTTATGCCGCTGCTATTGAATGCTGCAATCACATGTGCCTTTATGTAAGAATGCACCCATAGACTCAATGGAGTTTGGAGCTGAGCCAGTTTTCACCATACCTCTGGCAGCAATGTAAACTAGCAAATACCAGAAAATTTACCGCTGGAGCTGACCTTATCATCAACTGTTGGACAGACTTTACAAAAGGACACTGGCATGATGATTATGGACTACACCTGTACTGACTGCACATTCCCTGAATTTTTGTACTCTTTGTCATAGTCATTCTGCTGTCATAGGGTGCATGCAGGGGTGTGTGCTTGCAGCGGCAAAAATAGTAACAGCACAAATTTGTGGTGCTGTTTTGCCACAATGCATGTCGCTGCAAGAGGGTGTAGGGCAAATTACCGTGCTTCAGGAAAACTGCCCTTTCCACACTCCTCCTAGATCCCAGCACGCTGGAGGAGCTGGAGAACAACTAAAGGAGTGGAGATGCTGTGGCCGGCAGCCAGAGTGTTTCCCAGGAGGACCAAGCTTCTGTGTTTGCTGGTCCATGCTCCTCTCACATGTGCTGTGTTGCTTTTCTTCATGCTGGGGTTTTTTGCCTCTGGGATTTACTGGTAGCCAAATCTGCCCCTTTGCTGCAGTGCAGAGCATGTTTTAACATCCAGGCATGTGGACTGTGGTTCTGCAAAAGAGGTTTGCGGCACCAAGAACCACAAGTGCCAGCAGGTCTGGATATGGGCATGGAGGCACAGAAAAATAGGACTGGAAGAGACCTCAGGGGGTCATGTAGTCCAGCCCTCTACTCAAGGGCTTTTTTTTTTTGCTAGGCTCAGTGGCTGATTACAGGTGTGAAAAAACCCTACTTTAAGCTCAGCACCAACTGTGGTGCATGCCCAGAAGAGGCATCACAGTAGTTGGACCTGGCTCACCCAAAATCTGTACAGATTGGGTACTTCAGCAGGGCTTTTTGGTGCTTTTATCTAATCAGCTTTAGATAAAAGTGCCAAAAAGCCCCGCTGAATTGCCCAGTCTATACAGACGCTGCAGACCTGGGTTGAACTAACATGCTGCCTCTTCTGGTAAAGCGCTGTTTTGTTTTGTTTTGTTTTGTTTTGTGTCCGCAGCCAACTTGTTCAATTTGTGAATAGGAACATCACAGACTCAAACGATACTAGCTTGAGGCTCAATCCAGAAAGTTTGGAAAACTGAGTTACATATCAGGTACTCATGACAAGCAGTATTTCCCTCTTCAGAAGCAGGGAGCAGGGGTGGTAATCAAACAGCGCTGTTAAAAGGCAGGGGAAAACACAGCAACGCAAGAAACCTAAGACGACCACCCCAAGATCTCTCACGTGACCTGGGGTGAGAACCAACTACAACCCTCCACCTTTCATTAGGCACCACTCAGAGTCTGTTGTCTTACCTCACAAAAGTCCAAGTTTTGGGCAGATCAGTCTCTTGTCCCTGCATGATATGAAGCTCATACCTGTCTCAGCTGAAGCAACTACTGCTCTGCTCCGGCGTAGGGAAGCCCTCACCACTAGTTGCAACTCTGTGATTCTCAGCAGCACTGCAAGGTAGAAGCAGGGCTTCAGTGGAGTCCCGGCACGTGCCCGCAGAATGATATTATCACCAAGCTGCGGAGCTCTTAGCTGGGTGAAGAAAGGGCTTTTCCAAGGGGACTCACCACAATGAAAGCTTTGTTCTCAGGGGTTCTAGCTGACGTAGTCCTGGTCGTCACCAGTCTTCAACACGTCTTGGCTTTTCAGGTCGCCTCAAATTAGACACTGCAATATAAACAGCATCATGCAGTTCTCCATGGCCTTCTCACAGAGGGCTTAGATATCGTTCTCAGAGCTCCACTGTCTGACCATTACAGGCTATAATAAGGCTTGGGTGACCTTTGCCCTCAGGCACACTTGATATAGTTCACGTGCTAAACCAAACACGACACACAGTGTTTTGTCCATATCCCAACTCCAAAAATCAATGGCTTTTTAACAAAATTCTCCCAAACTGTCACATTACATGTGCAAAGAAGGCATGCAAACAAGACACACATCCTCTGACCGGTTCCCCTGGCTCATCCACAGATACCAGCAGAGGCCTCCCTCCTTGGTAAGGTCTCTGTACATCTAGGCTAGGTACAGACATTACACTTATCATGCATTAAGCATGCAACAAGCGCTCCACAGCCATAACCAAGCAGACATTCATAGAACATAGAGCACTTTAAAAATGGTGGAACCTGCTCTAAGTTAACCCTGGATAGATGTGGCATCACACTAAAGCACTTCAGGTTAGAGCACTTTATTGAACATCTGTACCAAAGACCATCACGACTCAAGTTAGCTTGCAGTCCCCTGGCATCTCAGGGGCTCCTCACAGGGCAGCATGTTAGCTTTGGCCAGTGCTCTCGCCTGCTCTGGGTGGGCACTGATCCAGCCCCTCCTCCCAAGGCTTTCATAGAGAGGAGACAGAAAAGGCTCTATCTTCTCCCTGTGCAGCTGGGGGGGGGGAGGGCAGTGTAGGAAAGGAGCCCCATTGCTGCACGGGTTCCCCCCCCCAGCTTGCTGACTTGAGTTTGGGGGGTGGCCAGGCCAGGTCCACATGGCAGAGAGGCTCCATTCCCTCAGCTATAGCCAGGAGCTGCAGTTTGGCGCTGTACCACTTTCACCGTACTGGGAACTGGGGGTTAGGGGCAGGGAACAGAGCCTGCTCTGCTACGTGGATCCAGACTGGCCCCTTCCAAGACCCAAGCCAGCAACCTGGGGGGGCAGGAGCCCACATAGCCAGCTGGTGGGGGGGGGGGGATGCTCTGGCAGCCTCCTGGGAGGTGTGCAGGAGCACCGCAGCCTGGTGGCCTTGGCCAGTGCAGGCCACTTCCATTCTCCTTCCCTCTCCTCAAGGTGAACAGCAGTTCTGTTCACTTCCACAGTAATCTAGGGCACTTTGAATAAAGCATGGTAATTAAAGTGCTTCCACCTTGGGCTTCTTGAACATCTGTACTTAGTCCTAGATTACTGATAGGTGTCTGCAGCAAGCTCCCCATCCTCTTAAGGCTTCAGGCCACAGAGTTATGCAAAATATTGGGAAGGATTTGTGTACAGCCAGTTCCAATGCCTTGGTGAGTGAAGAAGAACAGCAAAGCCTTGCAAAGGAATAAAGCCAAGTACTATATTTTCGCTGGGTTTTATTGTAGGCTGAGTGATGGAGAGGCATGTCTGGCTGGTCTGTAGAAAGCAAGACAATGAAACTGGATGCAGTCTGAATACTGGCATGGGGAAGATGATCTGGTGCTGGGAATGCAATCTGATGCTACGGGCATAGGCAATGAACATTGTCCGTATTTGTCATCAATGTCTATCCCAAATGTTCCTATGCTCCTCAGTCTGGCTCTAACAATGGAGTCAGAAACTTCCAGTGGAATCCACTGCTAGGTGCCAATTGCTTCTGAATAATCCAACAGGTATATTTAAATTGATGTCACCTTTTACTAGTAACTGAAACAATGTGGCCTGTGAACTGGCCCATCTTCTTGTTGGTTCTGTGGCTTGTCTGTGTGAAGATATTTACCTGTGGAAATGGCTGAGCCTTGATTTTCTGAAGCAGCACCGACCAAATCTTGGGTCCATCTGCATTTGTAGTAAAACTGTTCTTAGCATTGGTTTTGCTACAAATAGATCCTCAATACCACTGTCAACCATGGGTAAAATACCTAATCTGGTCAAATTGTAGAGACTTTGGCCAGTGAAGAATTTGTACACTTGAGCATTGAGATAAAAATTTAGGTTTCAAGCCCACACCCCTTGAAGTCAATGGGATTTTTATCAAAGTCTTTCAACAGGCTCTAGCTCAGATCCTTAACTTTAGCAGAATACAATGTGACTTAACTGTCCTGCACAGCCTTACTCCAATGCTTATATTTTAATCGACATACCATTCTAGGGAAGAAGTAAGCATTATTCTCTCCATTTCCCAATGGGGAAAGCAAAGCAAAGAGGTTTCGTGATGGGAGATTGTGGAGTCAAAATTCGAATTCAGGTGTTTCTTTCTGCTCTGCCACTCTCTCAGTTCAGTAGCGTGACATGTGGGTGAAGGGAGGGATTCAACACAGTGGGCCTGGAATGTGGTAGGCTGAATTTAGCTGACTGATGCTGCTTGCTGTTTGTATAAGCCCTGTTTAAGCCAATACAAAGAGAGATCACAAAATGCCTTTGGTAGGACAGGAATGCAGGAACTTTTTGTTCTACTCACCACCTGCTTACCTCCAAAACTATTTATCCCCATGTTGATCTATATTATTAACTGAACATTGACAGAGAGGTGAAGGGCACTCATGGACTTGGCTGTTTTATCTGATAAATTCACAAAACTATCAGAGCAGAACCTTCTTTGCTCTGTACATGAACTGTCCTCTTTTGAAGGGGCACAGTGGGTACTCTACACATTGTTTTACTTAACATTTTGCACTAAGTGGATGGTGTTGACAAGCGAAAGACAATGGGCACCCTTTCACTCAATCTCTATTGCTTTAGCAATCAGAAAGTCACCCAGAAAGGGATTCTGTGGGTGTAATGGAATTCTCTCACTTGGTATAAAGCTAGCATAGAAAGCATGGGCAACTAGTGCCCCCTTAGTTGGGGGGGCATGCCCCCCCTGCAACCAGTCCTGCCGATGGGGCTCCCCTGCAGTCGATCTCTCTGCCTGGGGGTATTCCCGCAGCCAATCCTGCGACAGCTGATCACTGTGGCCAATTGCTGCAGCCATTTCTGGGGGTGGTCGCAGCAATCAGCTGGCGCTTGCAAGCGGGGCACCGGCACTCCTGCCTGCCCCACCCCGCCCATGGCCTAAGTGGTGAGCGCAGCCAGTCAGGGGGTGCACCAGCGCTCTCAGGGGGTGCATGTGCACCCTCGTGCACCCTCTACACATCACCACTGGTAGAAAGCTCCCTACTACCCCCTCCCTCATCTCCAGATCAAACATATCCAGGCCAGGAAAACAAACAGATTCTTTCAAAATAATCTGGGTGATAGAGTAGTCTTTTTTGAACTTGTCTCCACCTGTTTTATTACTAGGGATGTTCATATGAAAACAGCATCTTTTCCCCATGGAATTTTGTCCATTTTTGTATTTTCTGTCTCATTTCATGTTCCCTGTCTGTGACATTGCTGTTTCATGGTGATTATAATGCCATAAAGAAGGAGGATGCCTCCACTGAGGAATAAGGAGCAGGAACAGATGGAAAGCTTAAGGAAAACAATAAAATCTTGTTTTTCTTTTAAGTCTTACACAAAGGAAGGAAGAAAGCAAGCCCTGAGTCAGCGGAATTGTTTTAAATAGCAGATTTTCCAAGAGTGTCAGCATCTCTTCAGGCTGAATTTAAAGAATGGAAAATAGTTTACATCTAATAAGAAATTGTCTTTAATTTTCTAGCTATTGTAGCTAGAATTGACATATTTGAGTTTTAAGTTTGCAGACTCCCTGACGTTGGCCATTCAGTGCAACACAGCAGGGATTCCTGAGTTGGGATGACTTCAAGTCCTACTAGAATCAGTCAGGTGATATCATGAACAACTTGTGTCTCCTGAGCCTGTGGGGGCACGGCGACTGCCCGCAGCCAGTGGCACCAGTGGCGGTGGGGGGGGGG